CCTCTGTAGGGTCCAGGTTTCCCTCATGCTACCAGCAGTGACACTGACCCTAGCCGAGCACAAAACTAGTGGAAAAACAGTCAGAAAAAATGAGAAGGTAAAACATGTGAGTGGCCTCCACCTTCAAAGCCTCCTGTTTGGGGGAATCTCACTGTTGCTTTTCTAATGCAGCTGTTGTTAATTTCATTATAACCCCCAACTGCCCCTCTGCTACTTAACTGACCACATTAGCATCCCCTGACATCTCTGATTAAACAGTCTGTATCTGTGTGTACATAAAGTGAAGTGAATCATCAAACACATGTTGTTTCAGTGTAAGTGTCTGTGTCTCACCTCATCACAGTACAGTGGAGGGCACCTCAGCCGGCACAGTTTCCTCCCGTTCACACAGCTGCATGACAGACAGTCCTCCTCCCACTCTGATCCAGCCTGGCTCACACACACACACAATATCCATTTTTATACACCAGACGCTGTAATTGGGTTGATGCCTCAACAGCCCATTACCCTGCATGCACACTGGCATGAGTGCAGGTTTGATGAAAGTGCAACTGGAGCAATTTCTTCAGCGAATCCACCCAAACTGTTGTGGATCTGAGCTGATTGTGGCACACAGCGATGCTATAATCATAACAGTGCATTATACAGACATGTCTCATGTGTATGTGCTGCATATAGGAATAACTGTGCTCAGTTTTAGACGTGGCTTTGCAGCTCACACTGAGCCATTTGGTAGAGTCATGGGGTGGCTGATTAGAAAACCACAGAGGGTCTTTACATGACTCAAGTAGCTGACAGAAAGAGAGAGACGGAGTAGGCAGGCAGACGGAACGAGACGGGAGAATAACGGGAAAGCTGGGGCGGACAGGAGAGAAAGAAAGAGGAAGAGGAGGATGCAAGGAGAAAATGAAAAAACTGTGTGAGGAGAAGGCGAGGCAGAGAAAATGAAAGAGAAAGACCTCAGAAAGAAAGAAGAGCAGCCCTGACCTCTTGTCAGGGTAAGATTAATTGTTATAATCCTCTAATACCCACTCCTTCATAAATAATTCCTGGCAGGCTTGCCCAGTTGCCGTCCGAGCGCTGGCTTTAACAGCACTTCCTACATAATTGATGAGGGCTGAGGGCTGAAGGGGCACAGTGGCTTAATGTGTCCTGTTAAGCTTGTCACTCATCTTCTAATAGGCCCTTCTTTATGAGTAAATAACACAATGGGACTGAATGGGATGGCGTGTAAACACTACACCAATGGTACGGAGGCGGGAACAATGGCTACAAGATGCCAAGTTTGCCGGGCAGCAGATGTCACTTTGCTTTTCGTGCGCACGCGCCGACGTACCTCCCGCAGGACGCCCCGGTCATGGCAAGGGCAGAGGGCAGGGATGACGCACGCGCCCTCCGGGTTTCGGTAAAGCCCCTCCTGACAGACGCAGCCTTCAGCAGAGTGGCTGCAGTTGACAGGAGAGGAGGAATAAATGTCCTGGCAGCTCCTCTCACACAGCAGGATCCCGTCTGATGTCGTCCTCCTCCACTGCTCCCCATCAGGACACGCTGGAGGAGAGGAGACGGGGATGGATGATGCGATGGGAAGATGATAGGGTGGAGTGGAAAGCATTTAATGATGAATCAGGAAGGAGAAAGGAACAATGGGGATCCAAAGAGGGGTAAGTGTTTAAAGGATGCAGAGATAATGACGAGTTTACTCGATCATGCATCATCAGTGAAATATCAACTTCCTCTCACTCACCACAGTCAGGGGCGATGCAGGTTGTTGTGCGGAGGTTAGGGCCTTCACATGGAGCCCCTCCATACTGGTTGGGCTCCAGTACAAATCTGATGGAGCTCTGCTGTCCTGCACCACAGCTGGCTGAACAAGGGCTCCACTGGGACCATGTGGACCATTGGCAGTCCACTAGAAGGACATAAGAGGGTGGGACATTCAGACTTAGCACTAAACTGTCACCTGACCACTTCAATGTACCCAGGAAATTATAAACATTTCCTGAGAAGTTGGGATATTTTACAGAATGTTATAAAAATGTTAAATCATGCAAAGCATTGAACTTATAAAAGTGCAAAAGGAAGATTTTCAGTGTTCAAATTTACTGACCAACATAACAGCATTTTGTGAATACATGAACATTTAAAAAGTAGATGAATAAACGAATACTGAAACGCTTCGGTGTATAAAAGGCTGGAAACCACAGCTGAAGGCTCCTGATCACAGCAACCACTGCCTGAGAAATCAGAAACAGCCACCTGGGCTCACGAGCCCTTTGGAAACCCCGTCTAACACAGCCCATGACTGCGCACGGAAATGCAACTTGAACCTGTATTATGGGAGGAGGAAGCCACACGTTAACGGGCCTGAGCTGATCTCAGGTCGACCCAAAGAGTTCTGTGGTCAGGTGAGTCCACATTTCAACTTGTTTTGGGGAAAAGCACATCGAGTTGTCCGTACCAGTGATGAAACCCATCATCCATATTACAATACCAGACCACTTTCTGCTTGGACCTGTGTGTGTGCCAGTCTGGCCTGCAGCCAGTCCTGTTCAACCTCCTACTGAAGACGTGATCATGGAGAGGACACTCAGACAACGGTAACTGCAGACTAAATGTCCAAATCCACAACAACTAGTAGCCTCAACAGCAGTCGCCTCCAGGAGCTTTATATTGTAAGGCAGAACCTACAATAATACATACAGAGAAACCCAACAATCATATGACCCCCTATGAGCA